CTACACTAAGGACCGCACGTTCACATTGTTAATGTTATCTAGAAAGGTCATTATTTGAAAGCTTGTGGCATAAATATTCTAGTCAACTGCCWTATTACCCTTCGMGATGATATGTACAAGCGCGTTTGAAAAATCGAATACGGCGAAGACACTTGTAGAACAACGCGCGTCACGTTGCTRTGTTTGGCCGGATGAGTCAAAGATTATACTAATAATATAATTCATACGAAGAATTRGTCTAAGTATTGTTATATGGATTTACGTCGTCTCAACTCGCCGTTCCAAAATTTATACTTTCTTACGAAGAACCAGTCAATGACATCTTTCAAKAGTCATTTTTTTCGATATTATGATYGAAGAATTGAAGACGAGGTTCCAGGAAAACAAAGCAAAACTATCTGTCGCTGCAATTGATCTCGTCTTTAATTCTTTTGAATGTTACTAATCAGACCCTGTTTACATGAGATAGGGTGCMCCTAGTGGTAGGGCCAAAATTCTTTGTTTTACTGGTCCTCCARGGAARAGAAAACAAAAGAGTTAGCCCTACCCCCTAACCCATGTAAACAGGGTCTCATTGAGCTACGAAAAATCGAATGTCGGTTTATTCAAAAGAATTCATTTATCTTYACTTACTTTTTTAAGCGTTACCATCAGTGCTCATGAATTAATTGGATTAATTTGAAAGAGAAGCAAAATTGCTAACAATAAAAGGAATACTGTGCACAGAAACAGGTATCCCGTGAAAAAGACAGGTCACTCACCATGAATTCTGAAATTCGTTTTGTATATCTGGTATACTATTGACAGCGAYGAGAGTGCTTTGTAGATAGCAGGTACATGAAACTTAGATACTACCTTATAACTGATCTAGTGATCGAAGCCTTTAAACGGTTTTCTAATGTTAGCCTACGTGCTGGTCAATACTTTGACGTAGACTAAGTTCMGTATGACTTGTGTCATGATTTTTTTCAGTACTTACTCATTGCAGAAAGGAATATTTGACCTATGTCCATTCATATTTCATATGTGTCTTCTATTATGACTAGTTTATATGGACTATAAATTCACATGTATTTGATTACAATTCATGAATTGAACACATGAGAAATACGCCGTATGAAAATAGTAAATTCSACATTTCTGAATTAAATACGACTGCACTTGCAAATCCAACCAATATTAAACAGTTGTTTATAGACAACATGTATTTAATATTCCAAATGCATAACTCATGCCGTTAACACATATAATTTTTTTTAAAGCCTTATAAGGATCGCCAGTCACTTTTTACAATTGAGTTGAAAGATTGAGTTCACTTGAAGAAAGCGGCCAAACTCAGAAGCTTGGATATGTTCGAGTTTTCGAGCCAGTAGACTTTCGCACAGATGTCTTTTCAAAAGTTTACCTTCTAATACTATCTAGTATGCATTATAGTTAGCGTATCAGAATCAATATATTTCTGTTATAAATATGTATTTCCTTCGCTTTTTTTCCCCTCCCAAATAATTATTCAATCATTAAGTATGAGAGATAGTTCAAAGTCCTCAAAATCGGTCTGGACGGGATTTCAAGTCCTTGACTTTAAACATTCCGTGAAAGCCAGACTTTACGGTGTTTGACTTTAGATCGGACCAATTAGAATAAAMGTTTTGGTTCATATGACCATATATGACATCATTTCCTTTTAGGATGACTTCCGGTTGTCTGCTTTTGATACGTCTCTTTGCCTCAATGTGATCGGTGACGATACTTCCTTCGGGCTCTCTACCGATCCGAATATATAAGAACTCCTTCTAACCATTCGGCGAACGCACATTCTATATCTACTCAAACCGAGAGTTTGCTGTCAGCTGGAGTAGTCGCTCGTTTGGAACGGTTCATATCATAATTGATTTTTAAATTAAACAGAATCCAAGCCAAAAATAGTTTCCTTTTTGTGGCTAGTACCTAGGAACGAGGCTCAAGCCACTATGCTATCGTCTTGTAAGTACAAATGAATGTAATTCGATCGGGATAGCTTCGTGACGCTAGTTTTCGGGTACAC